CCCCCCCCCCCCCCCGTTGGTAATGTGAGAGCCTGGTCAGGTGAGAACCCGGCGTGCTCCTTCCGAGCTTTGTAGGGGTGCAAGGTCAATGGTCTAAGGACTACGGCAATGCAAAGCTGTGAGTACACACACACACGATTCAGGCGCTTCCCCTTTACGCGTGCCGATGGAGAGGAGGAGGGGAAGATGCGGTTTCTTGCCGCCATGGCGATAATCAGTTTATGAATCGTCAAGTTCTCAATTGCCATGTACTTCGACGAAACAATCGTGGGAAATTCATGGACAGGTGTGGATACTGCTGTGGTTGTGTGTAGTTGGTTGCGCTTGACGCATCCGTACAATAACTAGGGGACATCGGACGACCTCTTGTCCTAAGAAATCACGCATGACCAACCAAGCTCGGAACGAATGCACAGCGCTCACATCAGGTGCCACCATGCCTTGTGTCCAAGACAAACGTAACTCCCAGCGAGAATCCCGAGAGTGTATGTCCCTATCCATCGACGTGCGCGTATGACTAGCAACAACGATTTCAGTGTCGCCCCCCTTTGCGCTCCCGTCTTCTCGTAACCGTGCCCTTACCCCTGTCCCTGTCCCTACCGCGGCGACTGGTATAGATTGTGGGGTGGCCCGGGCCTGTGCTCCCGTACATAAGCAACGTCCTGGTTCACCGCAACGCCCGACGGCAAGGCTTGGCCAACAGGCTGATGCTGCGGTGCGAGAAGCAGGCGCGAGATTGGGGGTTTACGCAGGCACGTCTTCATAAAGTGGTAGCTCGGTGTGTGTGTGTCGAGTTCCGAGGAGTTTTGTCGAGGTGTTTACGCCAAGCAGAACGCAATGTCCCACGCAGTCATCCGCTCGTGCTCTCGAAAGGGTCCCCAACAATGCTGCCGGGCTTGGTGTCTTCTTGCTCTCTGCCATGTCTTGTGCTTTGCGGCCCGCTCTGGTACCACGCGCTTGTGTGTGGGGACATTTGGTACTCGGCTGAGGCACTGCCTTGCGTCGAAGGGGGAACTTCCGGTATTTGCCTGGCGCGTGACTGTGATTCTTCGTAATGCCAAGGAAGCTTGCGAAGGCTTGCTACCTGTCTCTCAATGTGTCTGTATCGTCCCTCGTTTGGAAACGAGCTGCTGAGTTGACTGGCGCCACAGCAACGCCGTTGTTCTTCATGACTTGATTTTTTGTAGTAGCACCATTTCCCGTACTTGGTCTGTTTTTTATGGTGGACGTTGCCGTGCAACCGTCTCCGCGCTGGATTGCTTCACTTGCCACATGCAGGTGTACTTGCATGTCGACTTGACGTACTACCCCGCCGTGCGGATGTATGAGACGATGGGGTACGAGGTCGTCAGCGACCTTGAGGTGTCCTTCGAGGTGAGGCTGGCGTGCGTTGTTATTGTTGTTGGATGTTGCTGCTGCTGTTGGTATTGTCTTTGGTTCAGAAACCGGTACCTTGATAACATTGATGCTTACTCACAGAGGAAGAGCATACAGGTTGTTGTCGAAGACCGAATGCACTGGCGTTGATTGTGAACGAAAGAATTCGGAACATCTACCACATCTACGTATTTTTGGTGTTGTGCCGCCCCGGAGACGGGTTGGTTCGGATGCCTTGGTTTAGTTTTCTGGTGTCCCATAACGAGAAAGTTCTCAAAGGCGTTCTCATTCTGCTCCCTCGCTGCTCCTGAAGCAAGAGTTTGATGGACGCTTGCCAACTGGACACAAGGGCGTGTTGAGGAATACACAGCAGTGTGTAGCACGTGGCCCGCTGTGGAGCGTCACGCGGGTAGGAGGGTGGTAGCTGGTGGCTATGTCGAAGTTCGAATCATATCTAGCAAACACGAATCGTAATTTTTCTGCGAGGGCCGGATGATGAGGAGTACGCTCGGCTGGAGCATCTGGCCGAGAGCAGCTACGGAGAAAGTAAAAGTGGTATGTGGTGGCGGCGTAGCCCAAATAATGGCACAACGGAAGGAAGAGACCCCGAACAAATCTGCAGGAACAAATTGCGAACTGTCGGAAGTCGTACTCACGCGATTCGTTTCCCCCGCCGCCTTGGTGCGCGCGTCGATGCATTTGAACGTGTCCTTCCGCAGAACCCACGCCTGCGGTACATGAAGAAGATATTGTAGCACACGCGCGCTTGCATCGGCTCGTGGGTGGTTCCTATCATCGGCTCGTGGGTGGTTCCTAGAGGGTAGAGTCCGGGTGATCGTTGCAATGAGGCAAAAATAAAGTCTGTCTTTCGGTGTATTCAGCGATGGGTCCGGTAAACGGTGTGGTTGTTCTCATGTGTTTCTAGCTTCGTTTATGTATGCTCCCTTTCGTTCATGGACCGCAAGCTCTGGCTGGTGGCAAAAATGCTGTTTCTAATTTCTTCTTTTTGTTTTGCAACCGCCAGAGGTAAAGGACATCCGTTTGCTTCGCGCGAAACCACCTCTCACTCGCATGTGTTTTGTGTTCTGTGTGTTTCAGCAATAGTACGGGGCCGCAGAATAAGCGCGCCCATAACGAAGGTAGGTGTCATCAAAGAGCTTTTTTACAAATGGCGTGGCCCGTGAAAATGTCAGTTGTCTTGGTGCTGGGATTGTTTGCAAGAGGATAGCAAGAGGATACCCGGCGTGTGCGTAATGGCCGTGGATTATATCTCGAGGGGCTTACGCGTGGGGAGTTGCGCGTGGGACGAGAGTAGTTCGTCGATGGTGGGCGTTTGATTCGATGGGGGGGGGG